ATAATTTGGATCTTCTTTAAATTAATTTTTATAAATTTTATTAGGTAATTTGTAATTTGAATTAAACTCTTTAAATAATACACTTGATCTTAGTCAAAAGATCAAGAAAGGTTAGCCAAAAGGCCAACCCAAAAAAATTTAAACCTGATCTTAGCCAAAAAGCCGAGAAATGTGTGATTATCTATTTAGTTCTATAGTTTTATAAGTGACTTCCATGTAATCATTTTTTACTTAAAACCAATGTGGGATAAGAAAAATGAATTTTATTAGGTAATTTGTAATTGTAATGACCCGAATTTTTACGGATATTTTTTTTCCGTTGTCTTTCCTTTCTGAGTTCAATTCCTTTTCGCTTAGTGTCGTCTCGAGTGCTCTGGAGTGATTTCCGAGACTCTTACTTGTGGATTGACAACTTCCTTTGAGGACCGAGTCGTTTTCGCATTTTTCGTTTTTCGACACTATTCACTTTTCGTCATTTTTCCTATTTCGTCCTTTTCCCTATTTTGTCTTTTCTCCATTTGACACTTTGTTGGCGTAACCACACTTCTTGTGTTTGGAGTTGGTTTTTGACTTCATGTATCTCCATCTTGAGTGGTTTCCACGAAATACGTATCTTTACTTTTGCAAGAAAGTACTCTGGTTGCTCCCGGTGTCCATAGGGGTATGGATGCAAAGTTCTTTGAAATTATTTTCTTTTCTTGGGGTGTTTTTCATAAATATATTTTGAAGATATTTTATTTCAGGGGTTTTTCAGAAAATATTTTTGAAAGATATTTTCATTTTGGGCTATAAGTGCAGTTTTCACTTTTTGGAGGGGCCATTGTGTAATTAATGAAAGTTATTACAAAATGTCTTATTTTGAGCCTGGATCCTCGTACGGGATTCATTTTCACATTTCGTCGAGTTGTGTACTCTTGGAATTTCGTCCTGATCGATGTTTTCCAGTTTCAGGGTTTCTGGCCCCGATTTGTGCCAAACTTGTTTTAGGTATAACTTTCTACTTGGGACTCGGTTTTCGACGCCGTTTCTTCCGTTCTTTATAGTTTATCATTTTGAATCTTTTTCATTCACAAGGTTTTTCTATTTGAGCGCCTCTGCTCAAATTTTACTTTTTCAGACCCGGTAGGGCCCGTTCGGAGCACTTTTTGAGATTTCTATAAAAGGGGGGTGAGATATTTCATTTTTCATCTTCTCCCCTCTTCATGCACGACCTGGAGCTCCCATGGCAGCCCAAGGGGTGCTTCCATCTTCTCTCTCCTCTTTTGGTTCACTTTTCCTTGATGGAAAGTCTCCGGCCTTAACGTTTGTTGTTCCCTTCGCCGTGCTCTACCTTTCCCCCTTATTAGAATTCAGTTTTGACCATTTCTTGAGTTTGGTTTTGAGGTTAAGTTATGATTTTGATGGGGCTTTCATAGGGGTTATGTTCACGGCGTTGTCCCCGACAAAACCTAGTAGTTTCGTCGGATTCGGAGTCGTTCCATTTTGATGGCTTTTGAGATTTTCATCTCAAATTGAGGTAGGGAGTGTTTTAGGCTTTTGTGTGTGTTGTATTGAGTGTTTAGTATGATTATACAACTTATATATATGCCTTGTATCAAATCTTGAAAGTATTAATTTTTATTTCTTTGTATAAGATTTAAAATTCATGATGCTATATAATTTTGATTTGAATTGTGGCATACTAGAAAATTTAGTTTTAATATGTTTGTTAACATATATTAAATTGGGATTAATTAAATAAGAATTGTTCTTTTAATTAATATTTATCTTTTGTGAAAGATTAAAGTGTATGGCCGTACCTTGCATGAAATTAAGTTGTAGTATGCTTCTAAATTAGGTTTTGGCATGTTGTTTAACATACTTTAATTTGAGAGCATTTGAACAAGTATGAAGATCTAGAGATTTTAATTAAAATGATTAATTAAAATCTAATTAAGGATTCCGTTGGCCTAATTGAATGTTTAGCTTGATATTTGTGATAACTATGACTTATGTACTAGCATATGTTAATTTGGGACCATTTAGAGTTGTTTTAGAATTGAGAGATTTAATTATCATGATGTAATTAAATTCTACCTTGTTGCACCATTAATTGAATCATGTAATTGACATTAATAATATGTTTAAGACATGATTTTAGGCTTATAATGGAATTATGAGTTTATGTTTCAATATTGAATTATATTGTTATAACGTGTAACGAATCGCACATTGAAGATTCGATATGTGATGTTATTATAGTGCGTAACGAATCGCGCTCTGAAGATTCGACATTGTCATCCTATAGTAGTTGTGGATTTAGAGCATGTGTTGTGTGGTTACAACCTACTTGTGCATGAAGGTAGTTTCGTGTACTATTTAATAGGTATATAAGTTGTTAACTTATTTATTTTGGAGTCTTGGGACATTGTTAAGCTGAGATGGTTAGAGTTTGGCTCTAGTACGGGGACGTGAGTCCTCTAAGTAGTTGAGATAGTGCGCACTAGGGTAGTCTTCCCAGCGGATTAATGCCCGGAATAACCAATTTGTTCTTGGTTTAGTCAGAGACGTGATGTCCAAGTCTTCCACTATTTGATTTCGCATTCAATTCCAAGTTAACAACCAATGTTTAATTGTGACTTGTGGTTTTGGTAATTGGCGATTTGATGTTGTTAAGTACATCTATACTAAATTGATATATTTAGTTGATTTCACACTTTTAGATTACTAGTTGATAACCTAGAGAATCTATGTCTTGATGTGTGGTATTAGATATTCTAATTATGCTAAATTTTTATATTTAATTGATGTTGCATTTTAGACTTCAAGTTGATAACCTTGAGAACCACTATGTTGTTGCTTTGTATAAGCATGCTCCTATGTTGTTGCTTTGTGTAAGTATGACCCTATGTTGCTAAAATTGCATGAATGAAGTGATTGATACTAGATATGATCTTAGGTAGCTAGGATACTCTCTGAGTCTCACCTTGACATAGACGTTAGGTGGAATGAATCACAATAATTAAATCATGCAACTTGTAAAACTTTAGGTCGATGCATGCTCATTTCCTACGAGTAGCTTTATGTTACTCACCCCTACGATACTGGGGCATATTTCAGGTACAGGATACAAGATTGGATATTGCAATTGCTTGGGTGATTTGCTGAGTTGAGCTTCTTTAGAAGCATTCTTGTTTACATGCAAGTGTTAGCATGTTCATGATTTGTCTATGAAATGTAATTTTTCTAACTTGGAGCTTTGACATGTCAAATGTTGTAAATGTATTGTAATGAGGCCATAGGCCATTGTAGCACATCTATTTTATCATATTACATACACCTGCATGCTCACTTTGGCAAACAATACCTTCCTTGATGAAACAAAAGCTCTAAGTAGCATTTTTAGGGAGTTTTACCCTATGTTTCAGGGGTATTTTGGGTATTTCACAATGCGTTTTTTTCATTTTTCCTTGTGAGTCACGTAGAAAACTCAATTTTAAGGGGGGTTTCTTCTTTGTGTTTTTCCAGAAAACATCATCTTGGCCCTCAAAAATCAATATTTTTCTGAAAAATCCTTGCTACCAGGTTTTGCAAATTTTTAGTACAAATGTAGTTGGTACTATTCATCGACTTTTTTTTGAAAATCGTCACGACCGATCCGAAAATTTCGGAGGTCTTGTGGGTGCATTTTATGATTGTATTTTCAATTTAGGCAATTTAAAAACCTCCCGAAACCCTATTTCCAAAACTTGGCCAGTAGCTCGGATTGATTTTTTTCCTCTTGACCTAATTTTCTTGGGGGCATTCTGGGCATTTTACAACGCATTTTTTTTGTTTCCGTCCACGCGCTAGGTAGGAAACTTGATTTTAGGGGGGGTTTCTTCTTTGAGTTTTTCCAAAAAAGTCCGTTTAGATGCCCTTTTTTACTCTCAGTTGCAGCAATGGTGGGTTGTCCTCGTCGGGCCGCCACGACATCATTTTTGTTTTTGACCTTTCTCCCCTGTCCGGATTCCAAATTGAGTAAAAAAAAAAAATTTGAACTTGACTAATTTGTCATTGTCTTCCCAGCGGTGTGCTCGATAGCACCTGAATTTACTTTTTGCAAAATGACCATTTTGCTCCTAGGTTCTTTTTGTCCGTTTTTGAAATGACACTTCTGCATTTGTTTCATTTGAGTTCCGTGACCTCATTGAGGGTCACATTGGTGTCTTAGAGATGCATTGTATCTCTAGAGACCGTTATTTCACTTTTCGTTTCAGCATTTCAGATTTATTATTGGGTCATCTTTTGGTCATCACTGACGCACGGGGTTTACAAAACTTGGGTCGTCACAGTAATTTGAATTAAACTCTTTAAATTAATTTTTATAAATTTTATTTAAACCTGATCTTAGCCAAAAGGGCGAGAAAAGTGTGATTATTTAATTAGTTCTATAGTTTTATAAGAGGCTTCCACATAATCATTTTTTACTTAAAACCAATGTGAGACAAGAAAAATGAATTTTATTAGGTAATTTGTAATTTGAATTAAACTCTTTAAATAATTTTTAGATTTTGAAAGCCAAAAGGCCGAGAAAGTAGTATTATACTTGATCATAGCCAAAAGACCAAGAAAGGTTAGCCAAAAGGCCGACCCAAAAAAATTTAGTACTACACCTAATCTTAGCCAAAAGCCCGAGAAATGTGTGATTATTATTTATGTAGGTCTATAGTTTTATAAGAGACTTCTATATAATCTTTTTTACTTAAAAATAAATTTTATTAAGTAATTTATAATTTGAATTAAACTTTTTAAATTAATTTTTATAAATTTTATTAGGTAATTTGTAATTTGAATTAAACTTTTTAAACAATTTATAAATTTTTTTATATATATTAATAAATAAATACTGAAATAGTGAAATACTAAAATTTTTTACACATTTAAATTTAATAATAGTATAAATATATATATGAATTTTAATTATATATTTATTTACATTAGAAATGACGGACTTCCAAAAATATAAAGGAAATGTTTCTCTTTGGTGATTCCTCTCCGCTGCATGTTGAATAAGTTCACCTATTTTCTCTTCCCCAGTGGATAAGAAAAAGGGGCCTCCTCTCTCTCTCTCTCTCTCTCTCTCTCTCTCGCTAACAAACATGGCCATCACCACTATACTCCCCACCACCGGAACAATCTCATCCTCCAATACCCACCTCTCCCCTTTACCATCATCATCATCTTCCTCACCACTTTGCTCACTCACTCTTCGCCCCCAAACCCACAACTACACCCACCTCAGTTGTTCATCTTCCTCTCTCTTTCGCCCCATTCTCACCCCAAAATCCCCCAAACCCAGAAGACCCAATCGCTACTTCTCGCCGATTGTGATGAGCACAGAGGCTGGGGTTGGTGTCATGGGCACCAAGTTGGGTATGATGAGCTACTTTGAGCCAGGAGGCTCTGTTGTGCCTGTGACGGTGATTGGGTTCAGAGAGGGGAATATAGTGACCCAGGTCAAGACTGAGGCCACAGATGGCTACAATGCGGTCCAAATTGGGTACAGGAGGGTTCGAGACAAGAAGCTCACGAAACCTGAAATGGGTCATCTCACGAAGTCTGAGATTATACCTCTCCGTCATCTCCAGGAGTTTCGGTTACAGTCTGTTGATGGGTTTGAGCCGAATCAGAGGCTTGTTGTCGATGAGCTTTTCAAAGAGGGGGATTTGGTTGATGTCTCGGGGACAACAATAGGGAAAGGGTTTCAAGGTATACCCTCTTCTCCCTTTTCTTTTTTCCCCTTTTCTCTCTCTATAGTATATATATATGTATATATATATATATATATTAGTGTGTGTGTGTGTGTGTGTGTTCTGTATATATATTTGATTGTTTTGAACTAAGAATGTGTTGAAATGTGAAATTGGAAATGTCGAATAAATGTTGAATATGGAATTTATATTCTTAGGGTTCTCTACTTCTCACTATGTGTGTGTGTAACTTGTCTATGCAGATTTTATTGTTTTGAACTAAGAATGATTTGACATTTGAAAATGGCAATGTTGAATATGGTTTATGTCTTTGGGTGTTTGTTTTTAATGACTGGGAGTTAGGGAAGTTGTTGGTTGGATATGGCTCAAGCTAGCAGTGGAATTATTTGAGAAGCTGGTTAAGCGTATAGCTTTTGCTTCTCTAGTGTATGGGCATTTGGATAGAATCTAATTGCAGGCTCTTTTAAAATAATTGTGGTGATAAGGGTTTGCTTCGATACATTGACGAAGATGTATGCAACAGGTTTTCTGGGTGCCAAAGTGTAGTGACACTCCAGCTACTGGAGATTTATGTTTGTGTATAATGCCTGCAGTAATGGGTTGGTGTAAGTTACCAAAAAAACGATGTTATTGGGTGGTGTTGGCTGTTGTACTCAACAGCCTTCTCTTTGTTTTGCTTAGGCCTGGTGGGATTTGAAACAATTATTCTTTTTGCTTTTAGGGGCAACTCTTGCTTTTCTTTGAAAGGCTGTTTGCTAAGCTTTTGTCACAGATATTTTTGTTTCAGTCAAAACCCAATATGGTCCGATAATGGATGGCCCCTGCCAACTGCTTATCATTCCCCCTCACGTTCATTTGATTCCACTTCCAGTTCTTTTTCATAATGCTCTTTGAAAATTATGAAATGACTTTAACTGGAAAATAGTAATGTTTAATGCTAAGGTCATACTCGTTTTCCCCTGTTTGGTTGGCTTTAGCTTCTATTTTTCACTGTTTAGCTTCTAACAGAATGTTCTGATATAATTTAAATCAATTCCCGGTTGTTTCAATTTTATTATATTCTTAGACTCTATTTTAGCATGAATAATATGTTGCTATTCCATATATGATCGTCTACTCTATAAGTTTTATATGTAGATGTATGGAAATCATATACATTTGTATGTATTATGAAACTATTGCACAACATCTACAGATTCTATACTAATCTTCAGCTGGTATTCTTGAATGGTCTCAGTTCTGATAACATGAATGGTTAGCAATGCTTTCATATAGTATTCTAAGTCTCTTCTAAACTTGGATGAACGGTATGTTTTGGTGTTAGTTCATCCATTGTTTCCATTGTATTTACGGTCATTTTACCCCTATGAATGAACCCTAATATTGTGGTTAATTTTGTTTTGCCACCAGGTGGAATCAAGAGACATCACTTTAGGAGAGGCCAAATGACTCATGGATCAAAGAGCCATAGAGCTCTTGGATCAATTGGTGCTGGAACTACTCCCGGTCGTGTGTACCCGGGAAAGAAAATGCCAGGGAGGATGGGAGGAACCAAAAGAAAGATCCGTAAGCTGAAAATTATCAAAATTGACAATGATCTTCGGATTGTAATGGTCAACGGAGCTGTCCCCGGTAAGCCAGGCAATCTTATACGAATTGCGCCAGCAAAAATTGTTGGGAAGAATATCCCCAAAAACTAACTTTGTTTCGTTGTATTTTCCTCTTTTTGTATTGTCAATGTTTTTTGTAATTTGATTTTATCTGAAGTGGCATGTCAGCATTTTGCATTGCTAAATCTTTTTGTTAATTTTGTTCAACTTATCTTTTGTTAGTCTCCTCACTGTTAAATGACATTGATATCATAGAAGTAATGCATAGCGACTTTATTGATGTATAGACCATCTGCAAGAACTATTCGACACAAGTTTATCAATTCATTTGGGTACCATTGCAATTGGGTTCTTTGTTGATGTTTTTTTTTCTTTTCAGTATCCTATGTTTTTGGTCGTGTGTGCCTATATATACATTTTCTCTTTTGAGTCTTGCTGAATTTCAACATTTCGGGCCTCTTAATATTGCTTTTAATGAATGTTCCTCAATTTAAACCTGAGTTGATTCATCAATCAATTCTACTGTCCATTTAGATAATTTTGGTGTCTGAAAGGACAGGTTCTGGAATTCCTTGTTTGAGACCTTTGTAGTTGCTGGTCACTGTATATTCGAACATGCTGTTTGCACGGTCCCAACACTAAAATTTTGCACGGACGTGTCAGAGTCCTTGACCTAAATTCGGTTTACTACAAAAATAAATTACCCTTGGTGTCAATTGTGACAGTGGTCTATTGTGACGGTATTGTAATGGTCAGGCATTTTGAGGGGGCCAGGTGTATGAGTTTCTTGCCGCGGTATAAAAAAAATAATAATAAAATAAAATAAATTTACGAAGGCAAGATAATGATCTCCTACTGTGTTAGTTTTGCCTTGATAAGGACGACTAATTTTGCCTTGGAGATGCATTCCATGTGTTTATACCAGCCTCATTAAAGATGAATATAATTCATATATATGGTGAACATTTTTACACCACTGCCAGGTCCTTCATTATCTCCCAGCACTCCTCTTTTTGTAGTTGCTTATTCTCTTCCCATCTCTGTGTGTGTGGGCGCGCGCGCGTGCCTGGTTTGAACAATACTTGTTAAATTTTATTGGAACTATTGCAAAACATTACTGGTTTGTCTAATATGGTTTGAGGTCAGAGGGTAGTTGAGAAAGCTGAGAGTGATTGGGATTGCTTTGACTGTGTTCTTTAGGAATTTGTGTCTGCTTGGTTTTGAACTCTACGAGGGGCTTTATCGGCATCCATAACAGTGTTTATGGAAATTGGTCCTCATGTTTCTTTGATAGCTTTCTTTGGAGTTTCTTGTCTGCTCAATTTGTGTTGGTTTCTGGTTTTTGAGCTTGCCCCTTTTCTGTGAATGTATTTTAGAGAGAAGTCAGAAAGAGATGATTCAATTCAAGAATAGTGGCACTTCTTCACCTTTCATTTGAAAGGTCGAGGTTTTAAGTCCTCGTAGGAGCAAGTGGGCATGTGTGTGTGTGTGATTGTTTGCACATATATGTAGATATATATACAAAGTTGCTCAATTTCAACAATTGTTCTGGTACCCTTTCTAGCTATTCAAAATTGGCCTTCGATGTCCCCCAGTTTGTTGTCCTTTAGTTGTGTAGCTAAATATTTATCCTAGAATGGTTTAGTGGATATCGTTTTTCTAATTTTTCCTTACCGTCAATCAATTTTCATTAGGTTGTTTTAATCTGACAAACTAGTAAAATTGCAATTACTGGGTGTTTTCTATATTTTTGTAGTATTTGAGTTAATTGTCTTTCTCGATAGAAGGGTTCTTTGTTCTAAAACAAAAATACAAAGCTTGAGGCAACAAAAAAACCTATAACCACGGGAAAGACTTTCCTGCCTTTCTGTTTTATTAGGCTCTTCTTTGGGTAAAATATTTTATTTTATTTTATTTTTTCAGTATTTGGTAAAGGTCTAGGTCAAGATTGAGGTTGAGTCCATCGGACGAGATGTGTAAAATAACTTGTCGAAAATTGATGGGTAAATTATTTTTGTTAAATTTTAATATTTTTTTTCTTTGTAAATATTTTATGACAACTAAACACCAATATATATATGATGAAAAATATTTTATATCCATACAGACGTAGCCTCAATGTTTTTGCTTTTTCTTCAAGGTTGGCAACAAAACAGAACTTATACATGTTTCAGCTAAAACCCTGAGACGAGTTTTATATGCATATTGCTGAAACAACACACAACTAGCAAGAAAAGCTCACCACACCAGAATGTACAAAATGAAGAAGAGCAGAACTAGAAGTAAAGACCCCAACCCAAACCCCCCATCATCATAACCAGAGCCACCGCTCTGCAGATTTGGAGCATATGGAACCTTCAGCGTGGGAACGAAAACACTGAAAAAATGTATTAGCAGCAACAATAAGACCAGAATAAGCAGCATGCCGAACGTGATCGCGCCCTCTTCTGCTTCGCCAAAAAACAGAGGTATTATCCACTCTGCTACGTATCGAATGGTAGGGCCGAAAACGATCAGGCCGAGGACACTCACCAGTAGAGAAGGAACCAGTGGAGATGGCCCTCTCTTCCCCATTTGTGTTGCCAAGTCCACACAGTCTCATGGAGTTGCAAAATGCAGTTATATATAGAACAAAGTGTGTGTGTGCGTGTGTGCAGATGAGAGTGGTTGATCCATATAAATGTCCTTTATCAGAAATGATCTGCTTTATTCTTTTGTTTATATGGTCGATAGTTTTGAGGCCAACCACAATCATCTTTGTTGAAATAATAACATAAGCATAGAGCAAATCAGAGAATTCTTACCTCAAGAGTTGTTGGAAAATTGTTTGGAAGCATTTGTTTTCATTAGGGTTGGACGACTGGAATGTCATTTCTCTTTATTTTCCAAAATAATAATAATAATTGAAAATGGAGGTATATATATCATCCACATCAGTCCAAGAAAGTGAGGGTTTGTCTTGGAGGTAAAACCCATGAAATTTTTAAGAACATACTGTATCTCACGTCCCTAGCCTCTAGTCTCTGCTTCAAAAACAAGGCCCTCGAAAGCTACAATTCAATTAAAAAAAACAATTAAATCAAGGCAATGAAATCATTACCTTTTATATTCTCTACACAATCTATATTCACAAATCTGCCGCCTTTTTAGGATAAATTCAGTCTTTCATAAATAAAAAATAAAGAACCACTACAGAATGGGAAGTTCACTCCAAAGTGTGTGTATATATATATATATATATATAAACATGGAAATAACATCATTTTATAAAATCCCAGCAAGGGCCATATAAATGCAAAAAAGTAGAAACATTAAAAATGCCATGGAGAATATAAACAGAACCATTGAATTTTGATGACCAATTCAAATTCTTTTCCATGAATCAACAGAAATCACAGTACGAAGGACCTAGGATTTTACAATGGAATCCATTTCATTTCCATAAAACTCATAAGAGTTCTATTAAGAGTCACACAAAAACACACTCACACACCCACTCGACCCTACGGGGACTTGAAGTCTTGACCTTCTACTTTGAAAGAAGAGGAAGTACGGTTATTAAGAGTCACTGTGATATTTCTAAAAGATGGTAATCTCAATTAAGTCCTAGAAGCATGGGCATCCGGATGTGTCTGTACACGCACACGAAGCAATGACATTGTGAGTTGAATGTGTACTACCGATTGAAGAATATGAACAAGACTTTCTCATTATGTCCATGTTAAATACTAGATATATAACCATAAAGAGAAGGTAGGGTACACAAACTGGTGTTATACAAGTCGGTCTTTTTACCATCTACCACACCCTAAGAAAGAGGGCATTGGTTAACCTGCACTATAGCCATTTTAAAAAAAAAAAAAAAAAAAAAAAACCTGCACTATAGCCGCCAGCTACATAACTCCAACACCGTACGAGGAGAGAGGTGAAGTTGTTGCTGATCCAGCAACATCTAACCATCCAAAACATGTCCACTCGTTACGTAGGACTATAGCGGAGATGTTGCTCGTAGAAATTGATCAACTGTCATAATACAGAAAACAAAATATAAGTGACATTAACAGCATACTAGCAGTCATAACATAATAGTTGCAATAATATTTGTTGTAGAAACCATAGCAGTGTTGATGAGGAAGAAAGAACAATGAGAAAAGAGAAGCCATTACCAGAAGTGGATTGTTAGTCTTGAGAAATTTGTTATCCACAACCACTTCTTTCCCGTCAGACCTACATGTATGCAACCAAGATAATTTTCTTAAGTACTACATACATACTAAAGGAAGCTTAATGACTAAACTAGATTCTAGCCCGCTTGAATAGTTACACAGTTAATACTTTTCTATAACGAAAAAATTCTGTGACATTGAGAAGTCAATGTCCTTTTAACTTGGAAAAACTACTCTTTCTTCTTAAGCTGCATATTCTAAGCCTATATCACCTCAGTACAAACCACAATTGTGTTATCTATTCATGCACGATCTCTGTCAGGCAATTAACTAATATTCTATATATCAAAACGAAGTTTTTGCTACCTTGCAAGTAATTGATGCTAGATGTAGATGTAATGCAGACCATACAGCAAAGATGCTTGTAGAATCACAACACACATATTATATAGTAGAAATATATAAAAAGAAGAGAAAAAAGAGAATTGCGTAAAGACTTGAATGAGATAAATTACTCATTCACAGCTCTAGTATTTATAGATAAAATGAGCACATGCTCATATTACAAGAAAGGAAACTAAATCAAATCAAAAATCAAATCACAACTTATTCTAAAGCATATTCTATAGCATAGTCAACTATCTACTATTATGGTAAGTCATACCATAAATCGTGATATCATATATATGCTATTATATGCATAGTCAAATCTCTGCTATTATGGTAAGTTATTCCATAAATTGTGATATCAAAAATGCTAACACTTCCCCTCAAGTTGGTGCGTGGATATCTGAAACGTCCAACTTGGACAATGCATTCTCAAACACAATCTTGCTGACGCCATTTGTAAGAATGTCTGTAAGCTGCTGAGAGCTTGTGACAAATGGAGTGCAAATTTGACCAGAGATGATCTTCTCTCGAATGAAGTGACGGTCCACCTCTATATGTTTAGTCCTATCGTGCTGAACAGGATTTGCTGCTATGCTAATGGCAGACTTGTTGTCGCAGTAGAGTGAGAAGTAAGCGACACTGAAAGGCACAAGTCTGTCATCAAGGTTTTCAGCCAAAGCAACTCACCTACCCTAAGAGCCATAGCCCTATACTCTGCCTCTGCACTAGATCGACAGACAACATCCTACTTCTTACTGCGCCAAGTAACCAAGTTACCACCAATAGTGGTACAATAACCTGAAGTAGACCTCCTATCTGAAATTGAACCTGCATAATTAGCATCTGTCCAAGCCTCAACACGTAAGTGACCATGATTAGCAAACAAAATACCACGGCCTGGACACCCTTTTAAGTAGCGAAGAATCCGAATAGCTGCATCAAGGTGTGAGGCACAAGGAGAGTGCATGAATTGACTCACGACACTCACGGCATAAGCAATGTCAGGTCGAGTCATGGATAAATAGATAAGCTTCCCCACAAGTCGTTGATACTAACCAATATCTGACAACAACTCCCCCTCAGAATCAGCCAACCGATGATTCTGCTCAATCGGAGTATCAGCAGGACGAGCGCCAAGCTGACCAGAAGTAAAAAGCAAGTCAAGAACATACTTGCGTTGAGAGATGAAAATGCCAGTCTTAGAGCGAGCCACCTCAATGCCCAAGAAGTACCGTAGGGAACCAAGATCCTTAATCTCAAACTGACGGCCAAGATAGCTCTTAACCTCATTAATTCCGGTAGTATCATCGCCGGTAAGAATAATATCATCGACATACACAATGAGAGCAACTGTCTTACCGCCTGAATGACGTAAAAACAAGGTATGATCAGCTGCACTTTGATGGAAACCAAACTTGAGCATAGCAGTGCCAAAGCAATCAGACCAAGCTCGAGGAGACTGCTTGAGGCCATATAGAGAACGACGAAGACGACATACCATACCAGAATGAGCAGGAGAACGAAAGCCCGGAGGAGGAACCATGTACACCTCCTCCTGTAAATCACCATTAAGAAAGGCATTCTTGACATCTAATTGAAATAGAGGCCAAGATCGAATTGCAGCAACGAAAAATAATACACGGATGGTATTCATCTTAGCAACAGGGGCAAAAGTCTCTTGATAATCTATGCTATAAGTCTGAGCATAACCCTTGGCAACCAATCGGGCCTTGTAACGAGCAACTGACCCATCTGGATTATGCTTAACTGTAAACACCCAAAGACAACCCACAGCCTTTCGTCCAATAGGAAGCGGAACCATATCCCAAGTCTGATTTTTTTTAAGTGCTTGTAGTTCTTCTGTCATAACATCACGCCATTGAGGTTATGCTAGTGCATCTGCAACACTGGAAGGAACAGGAACCGAGGCAACAGAAACAAGAAAACTCCAATAGGAGGGTGAGAGAGCATAATCAGAAACAAAATTAGAAATAGGGTAAGTATAAGAACGCTTATCCTTTCGAAGAGCAATGGGGCGATCATCAAGCGAAACAATAGCTTGAGAAGGCGGAGCTGGTGCCGAAGGAACAGGGCAGTCGATCGTGGGAGTAGAAGCTTGTACCTGTTGTCTCCGACTATAAACCTGTGAAAAAGGAACAATTCCCCCTGCTGGAGGGGTATCACGAGGAGGAATTATAGAAGAAGAAATAGGTAATGGTAGAGGAGTTGAAGACGGAAGAAGGTGATCATCCATTATATTCAATGGGAACCATTCACTCTGAGAACCAAATGAACCACTATAGTATGGTGTATGCTCAAAGAAAGAAACATCCATGGATATAAACCGCCGACGAGTGGGAGGATGCTAACATCTATAACCTTTTTGAGAGTGAGAATAGCCCAAAAATACACACTTCAAAGCCTTGGGGTCAAGCTTTGTACGAGTTTGCCCCAATTGCCGAACAAAGCACACACACCCGAAGACTCGCGGAGGAATCAAAAATAGAGATGAATTGGGATGTAAGATTGAGAGTGGACTGCAAAGTTAAGAATCCTAGAAGGAGTCCTATTAATGATGTAAACAGCGGTTAGAACTGCATCTCCCCAAAATGACTGGGGAACATTCATGCCAATGCAGATTGCTCTGGCTAAGTCAAGGATGTGACAATTCTTTCTCTCAGAACGACCATTTGGTTGAGGAGTTTTAACATTAGCCAGCTGATGCTCAATCCCAAATTCTGTACATAACCGTTGTACCTCCTCATAAGTGTACTCTGTACCCTGGTCAAATCGGAATTTTTTAATGGTACGACCATATTGAGTCTGAACCATTGTCATAAAATTTTTAAAAATGGTGTATACCTCATTTTTGGTTTTCATAAGATAAACCCAAGTAATACGACTATGATCATCAATAAACAAAACGAAATATCGAAATCCAAGACTAGAAGTAACTGGGCAAGGACCCCACACATCTGAATGAACAAGATTAAAAGGTGTTAAAGTAGATTTATTACTACTAGCAGGATAATTGGAACGAACATGTTTAGCCATATGACATGTTTCACAGGATAAATTTGACACTGCCACATTGCAAAATAAGGAAGGAAATAAATGTTTCAAATAACCAAAAGAAATATGTCCTAAACGCATGTGCCAACGCATAAGCTGGGCATTATTAGATGAAACAATATTAGAAAATGAAGCTGAATGTGCTTGAGGTGACAAAGGAGCATCCAACAGGTATAAACCGTCCACTTCACGCCCACTGCCAATCGTCCGTTTCGACACCAGATCCTAAAAAATACAATGAGAGGGAAAGAACGTTACACTACAATTTAATTGTTTGGTAACGCTACTAACAGAAATAAGATTTGTAGTCAACTTTGGAACATGAAGTGTATTTGACAAAGTTAATGAAGGAGTAACTGATATGTGACCCTTCCCAACAATGGAAGATGGAGAGCCATCCGCAAGGCGGACCTTGCGTTGGCCAGAGCAGATACTATAAGATTGGAAGAGTGAGGACATACCAGTCATATTGTCTGAAGCACTAGAATCAATGATCCATGGTGTTGAAGATGTAGATACACTATGTGCAGACGTAATAGTACCTGAGTGGGCATAAGTGGAGGTTGGCTGAGATGATGCCTCCATTTGGTTGAAGAATTGCTTGAACTTGTCCAAATCAGCTTGAGTTAAGGTAACTGTGGCAGAAGATGTAGAGGCAGGGTTGTCAGGAGTTGACAACAAGATTGGTTGTGTAACAGAATGTGCAGAGGATTGAGGCTGTTGTTTCTGTTGCGGTGGACGTCCATGTAGAGCATAACAACGAGATTTGATGTGACCAATTTTTCCGCAATGGTCACACCGTCCACGTTGTCGTCCAAGAGGAGGACCAGTGGTAGTGCTCTGAACTGACTGGGATGGTGAAGTTCCTGAAAGGTTGGGAATCCGAACTGCCATAGCAGAACGATCAACAGAAGCAACACCTAATGGATGAGTCCGGCGGCTCTCATCTAATAACACATAGGAATATGCATCCTCAAGAGTAGGGAATGAAGATAAGCCCAATAAATGAACACGAGCATACTCAAACTCGTCGTTCAACCCAGCAAGAAACTGAAACACTCGATTCTTCTCCACAATTCCTGCATATAAAACTGCATCATCTGGATCCTTCTAAGAGTGGAAGGAATCATAATATGACATCTCCTTCCAAATAGCACGAAGCTTGGCGATGTAACCTGAAACTGTCAAGTCACTCTGAGAAATCCTGGTAATATCTCGCCCCAATTGGAAAATTCGTGCATTATTCTGCCTCTGAGAATAAGTGCGTTGAACTGAATCCCAAATCTGCTTAGCAGTCCTTATAAACATATAGCCAACAGCTATGTTTGGTTGCATCGAATTGACTAGCCAAGACATAACCATAGCGTTATCTGCAAACCACTGTGGATATGCCTTCTCTGACTCAGCTAGCTCTTTCTCAAAACCAGTAATATAGTCAATCTTGCCTTTGCCACCAATGAACATCTTGGCAGACTGTGCCCAAATCAAATAGTTGGAACCATCCACCTTCACTGTGGTGATTTGAAGTCCTGGATTTTCTGATGAGTTGGTGGAAAAAATGGCACCACCACCCACAGAACGTGAGCCAAGAGAATTAAC